TTGATTTTGAATAGTGATATGATAGGAAATGTGTAGTTGAAAAAGAAGAAAAAATTATTGATGTGATGGAAAATATTATTTTATTGAAGAATGTGTGGTTGAAAATGAGAATTGATTTACTGTAGAAAATGAGAATCCCTCCCAAACAGGGCCTAAGTTGGAAAACAAATCCATTTTCCCTAGAAAATTAAGCATTTCAAACAGGGCTAAGGGGTATTTGGTTTTCTATTTTCAAGTAGCTTTCAATTTTCTAAAACAATCAAAATACGTTTGGTCTTGGTAAAATTTATAACACGAAACTCAAAACGTATTTTTGATACTTTGAGTATTTTCTCAAAACACGTTAAATTTAATTAAACTTCAATCAATTTATTATTTATTATTTTATTTTTGTAGTGGGAAAAAACAATAAAAATTTTCATCTTTAAAATGTACATTACTTGATAGGGTAATTGGCGCAAAACGTCCTTACCTTTGCCTCTTTTTGTGGAAAACGTCCATACTTTTGATTTTTTGACGCAGAACGTCCCTACCTTTGATTTTTTTGGCGCAAAACGTCATTTGCCCTAATTTTTAATATAAAATGACCGATATACCCTCCAATTGAAATAAAACAAAAAAGAAAAAAAAAGAAAAAAAAAGAATAAATTACAATTTGCTCTAAACTTTTTTAAAATACAAATCAGTCCAAAACTTATGAAAATATTAAAAAAAAAAATATCCCCCCTTCTCCTCCTCTCCCTCCCTTCTCCTCCTCATTATGGCCATAAATTCCAGCAACCTACGACCACCTAAACCACCGGATATTGATACCGGTGGAAAGAGCATAACCTCCTCATCAATTACCACCAAACAGCTACCCTAACTCCAAGTAATCTGGCCGGAATCGCGAATCAAAGTTCACTGCCAAAAAATGTGCAAACTGCCGGTTTCTCCATTTCCGACCACCAACTTGGCCAGAGCCAACCACCGGTCACTAACTCACCCCTGGACGACCCTTCCCATGTCACCAATTTTGTCCAAACATCTCTCTATCATGCTGAATTTAAACCAGAAAACACATTTGTCTTGAACAGTCCGACATCGCACATTTCTTCTGCTGATTCCAGCGCCTTCCGATCGATTGACGGCCTCGGACTACATGGGCCTGACTCCCCATCACCGGCGCACCTTGCCCTTCAATGGGTTAAGNCTTTTTGTGGAAAACGTCCATACTTTTGATTTTTTGACGCAGAACGTCCCTACCTTTGATTTTTTTGGCGCAAAACGTCATTTGCCCTAATTTTTAATATAAAATGACCGATATACCCTCCAATTGAAATAAAACAAAAAAGAAAAAAAAAATAAATTATAATTTGCTCATAAACTTTTTTAAAATGCAAATCAGTCCAAAACTTATGAAAATATTAAAAGTAACTAAAAAAAAAAAAATCTCCCCCCTTCTCCTCCTCATTATGGCTACAAATTCCGGCAACCTACGACCACGTAAACCACCAGATATTGATACCAGTGGAAAGAGCATTACCTCCTCTTCAATTACCACCAAACAGCTGCCCCTAACTCCAAGAAATCTGACCGGAATCGCGAATCAAAGTTCACTGCCAAAAAATGTGCAAACTGCCGATTTCTCTATTTCCGGCCACCAACTTGGCCAGAGCCAACCACCGGTCACTAACCCACTCTTGGACGACCCTTCCGATGTCACCAATTTTGTCCAAACATCTCTCCATCATGCTGAATTTAAACCAGAAAACACATCCGTCGTGAACAGTGCGTTATTGCACGTTTCTTCTGCTGATTCCGACGCCGTCTGATCGATTGACGGCCTCGAACTACCTCGGCCTGACTCCCCATCACCTGGCGCACCTTGCCCTGCAATGGGTCAAGGTCAATTTTGTTCAGATTTCGAGCAATTCATCGTTGAAGTTCGTGGTGTCTGTGAAAAAATTGGAACTGGGGAATTAGATGAACTGGTTCGAAACTGATTTTTTAAAAGGGTAATTGCTTCCTTTCGTGCGCTTGCATGAAAAGAAGCCGCTGAAGGCGAAGGCTATGGATATGACGGAAAAAATGGAGTGCTGTTAGAACAGAATGTGGAGGTGGTGGAGGAGGCTCAGGGAGAGGAGGAGAATGGGGGATATATATATATTTTTAATATTTTCATAAGTTTTGGATAGATTTGCATTTTAAAAAAGTTTATGAGCAAATTGTAATTTATTCTTTATTTTTCTTTTCTTTTCATTTTTGTTTTATTTCAATTGGAGGGTATATCGGTCATTTTATGTTAAAAATTAGGGCAAATGACGTTTTGCGCCAAAAAAAATCAAAGGTAGGGATGGTCTGCGTAAAAAAAATCAAATGTAGGGACGTTTTCCACAAAAAGAGGCAGAAGTAGGAACGTTTTGCGCCAATTACCCTACTTGATAATATATTAACATAAAATTATTACATTTTACTAAATAATTTATTTTAATGAATAAAATATCATAAAACTTGATGCTACCAAAATTCGTACCTGGATGAATTCAAGCTGCACGAGGGAGCCCCACGCGGTCTTGTCTTCTTCAATACCTGAAACAAAGGCAGCGAGGTGTGTCCTCGTTGCCCCTCCGATGCTTAAGTCAGTTAAACTTCTTGAGAGAAATTTATGCTGGATGACTGAATAAAAACGTACCTCAATGGCGAAGTTGGGTTGCGTATTTATAGATGCAGGTGGTGGAATCCCAGTAGGATTGAACTTCCTGTGTGGAAGACTCCTAGAAGGATTGTACTTCCTGTAGTTTTAGTTATTTTGGGTGTTTGAGTTGAGTTGGGATTGTGGAGTTTGTAATGGATTAGGGGAGTGTAATGAATTCGGGCGTTCATGGGTGTTATTCGTGTGGATCGGGGAGATGTGAGGACAGATGGGTGGTGTGGACTCGAGCTCGAGCTCGACCTGGACCAAGACCATTTTTTGGGCCACTGGTGGTGGGCCTAGGTCGGGCCCATTACTCGAGGTCGGGTTTATGAGATATCAAAACTATTTATAAAAATTTCAAACCATATGCATTTTTTAATTTTTTGTTTTGAAAATTTATTTTTTCGAACAATAAATCAAACTATTTTCTACAATTTCAAAACATAAAAATAAAAATAAAAATGAATTCAAAATTGAAAATGGAAACTCCTACTATTTTTTTTTTTGATACCCAGGTATCCCAACTTACACCAGACTATATCATTGACCACCCAAAATCGGTGCCTCAACTCTAGGCGGAGGTAAATTGCGGGTTATGCCTAATCAAACCAGTGTCCATGCAAACTTTATACTCCTGACCCCAAAAGAGCCTTCCTGCGCTGACTTTTACATCACCAATCCGTTCCACCACATGGTTTTTTTTTGAAACTCCCACTATTTTTCTTCGCATGGGTGATGAGTGTAGTTATCAATTGGGTTGGGCCGTTGGGTCGATTCCACCAAATTTCAGCCGTTGTTATCCAGTAGAACTCGAAATGACAAAATTAACCTCGAAGGATTACAGACAAGCTGTCGACACTAGTTGAAAACTACACAACCCTAGTATCTCTCTCTCTCTCTCTCAGTCCCTCTACCTGCATCCCGCTCACTCACTCAACTGCACTCGTTCACGCCGCCGTTACGCCGCCGTTTAGCGACTTGCAGCTAAAACACGCCGCCGTTCGTAAATTTATTCATATCAAATCACCTCCCCATCTGCCGGTAATTTCACCCCTCTGAACATCCGTTATCGAAATTCCAATTATTCGCTCAGTGGAGCTGACTTTAATTGAATAATACGAATAAGGAAGTGAAAAAATCCTCGTTTTCGTGTAAAATGGGGAATGGGGAAAATGAGGGTAGTGCTGGTGATCAGCAGAATATTCAGAATGAGGTAATAAGTGGTGAGCCTCCCAAGTCACCCTGGAAGACTTCTGCGGGAATTGCGGATGGTGCTTCTCCTCAGGTGATGGAGCCTGATTCGGAGTCTTGGCCTGCACTGTCCGATGCGCAGCAGCGGTTTAAGAACAACGTTAATGCCGATTCCAACTCTGCCAAGTTGGTGTTGCCGCAGCCTCAGCAAGAAGCCAATGGTGGTGGTGCTCCTCCACCTTCTGTGCCGGTCTGTGCTATTGGTTATTCTTTTTTTTTGGTTTCTTTCATTTTAGGTATATGCTTAAAATAGTGAATGCAGTTACTATTTGCTTATGGTTTGTGTTAAAAAAATTGAATATATTATGTTAATTGTATTTTATTGAGCAGGAAGTTATTGATCTAAATATGGAATATGAAAAAAAGGACGTTTCAGAATAATTCCTTTCATAAATGATCCGAGCAAACGTTGGACAGATGTTAATATATATAAATTGAATCTAATTGTATGATGTAGAACTTTTGCTTTAACAATTTATGTTCCTATTTACTTGAAGAATGAATTAAGTCATCTTGTCATTAGGTATGAGTGTAATTGCATATTTAAATAACAATGTTAAAATCATAAGGATAAGTTTTGGTGCATCTTTTAAAAAAACGACTTCATGTGCGTTCTTTAATGTCGATTTTGTTTTCTATGACGAGCATATTCAAAAAAAGGGGAAAAAAAATATAAAAATCAGACACGCGGTTTCAAGATTTAGCACTCACATTTTTAATGAATCGAGTTCTATATTTCCTGACATTGTGTATCCTTGTAGTCAGAACTCAGAAGACAGATAAGATATGGAATGAAAATACTTCCAAACAGGCTGCAATTAATTAAAAAATGACAGCGTGAAGTAGAATTAAAGATGCTGGCATTCAAATCGATCTGAGGCAAAAACAAAAAAAAATTAATAAGCCAACTGAGAAATGGTATCCTTATCAGTTATCATGGTAGAGCAGAACCGTTGAGCGTAATTAATGGTTTTATTTTACATTTTTGGCTGGCCTCAGACTGATTCCTCCTTGAACTGGAACTGCTTGCTTAGCCTAATTATCCCACACCATTAGGTGAGGCTAGATGATCTTCTTTCATATGAGAGGCAACCCGTGTTGATTGCTCCAAATTTACTGCCCCTAAGCATGTGTGGCTAACTGGCTATTGTATGTACATGGACTCTTTGATAATCAGCAATTCAGCATCTTACCTGACAGTTTTTTCTGGTCTTCCAGGCTACAGTTGAGCAGCAGAAGTTGCATGGACGTGGTAATTTTAAGTCACCTCGTAAGCCTTCCAATATGCATCATCACAGAACAGGTCCTAAGCACGGTCCAAATGTTGTGCCTCCATTTCCCGTACCATCACCCTATCATCAACCAACTATCACACCAGTTTTTCACGCTATGGTTCCAATGCCACACATTTCTGACCCTGGATATGCACGTCAATTTCACCCTGGACCATTTCCAATACCTGAAACTCAATTGGTAAAATCCAATAGCAACACTCGAGTACAAGGCTTTGCTCCACCAGTAAATGGGGGCTTTAAGCCTTCATCACGCTCTGACGCCAAGGACCATGATGCCAAATCTGGTGGAAGAAGACCTATTGCACAGGAGCAAGGTGGTCAATTGAATCCTTCTTGGCCTAGTCAGCGACCAGTTGTTTATAACAACAACTTTCATCCACAACAAACCTTGGGACCTAGGCCTTTTATAAAGCCTCCACTTTCTGATCAAGCAGGCTTCATTGATGGACCATACTTCCCAGGTAATTATATATCTCAATATGAAGCCACCTTGATAAATGATATCAAATATTTTTTGTATTAAGATACCGCTGTCTGTGATTCTCTCTCCTGCTTTCCCTTTTCCTTTCTTTTTCCCTCTTGTTCCTCTTAGAGCAGTTGCTTATTTACATTGTCTAACAAGGTTGTCTACGATACAGGTCCTCCAGGAGCTCTATATTATTTTCCTGCTGCTCCTCCAGGCCCTGTTAGAGTGCCTTACCCACCATTTGTTGTTCAATATCCTTTCAACCCAGGAGTTCTCATGCCATCCTCACCAATGATCAACTTGAAAGCTGACATCGTAAAGCAAATTGAATATTATTTCAGGTGAATTGCTCGAGAAAGATCTCCCTACTAGCAACTCTTGGCCTTTTTTTTTGGGGGTGGGGGTGAAAATTGATATCGGGCTAAAGTATTTTCCCCCAAAAAGGGTTCATCCTAGAACTGTGGTGTTAACATTGAATTATTACGTTAATCAACTTATTGGATAATTTTTTTTTTTTTTTATGATTTATCTCTTGGAGTCTAGTCTAATTATTTTCGCATAAATGGGATGTTATTTGGTAATAATGATAATTTAAAATGATTGGTCGTACTTATGTCCCTTGGATGTGGTGACGTTTTTCTGGGACTTTTGATTGGTAATAAATAAAATTAATAAAGCTACATTATGTTTAAATAATAGGTAAATATTTGAGTTTTGAATTCCATTACTTTGGCAGTGATGAGAATCTGCAGAATGATCACTACTTAATTTCCTTGATGGATGACCAAGGTTGGGTTCCGGTTTCAATTATTGCCGACTTCAAAAGGGTATGTTTTGATGGATGCTCTGTATTGTTTAACAAATGCTATATAAAGAAGTACATTATCATTAATTGGGAAACCATATCTTGCATTTGTGAATCAGGATCAACTGAGCTGTATCATTTATCGTGTTTGAGGGTTGCGGGGGCTGGGGGTGGGTGGGGAGGAAATGGTTTTTAGGCTTCATCTGCCTGCAAACTTGATTAACTCCCCAAAATTCTTCTATTTTAGAATGTGCAATTATGCTACCATGCTTCCCTTTTCAGGTTAAAAGAATGAGCACAAATATACCATTTATTCTGGATGCACTGCAAGCTTCAAGTACGGTTGAAGTGCAGGTTAGATAATGCTTCCTCTCTTTATTATCCCCCAGTTGGGTTTCTACTTCTCCTCTATTATGGCATAAGACTTCCCATTTTAGATTTCACGTTTTTTAACCTTCATTTTGTTTATTGAAAGGATTTCCCTTGATGTGCACTGAATTTTATTTCCACAGGGTGAGAGGCTGAGGAGACGTGATGAGTGGTCAAAGTGGATTCCATCTTCTGTTACTGATAAATCTACTTCTCTAGTTCCAAATGTTCTGAAGAATGATGAGCTTAATGATAATAAAAAGGACAGCTCTGAAAGAACAAATATTTTTTCTTCTCCAACTGGAAGCTCTGTGGATCACCTACCATCAGGTGAAGATTCTCAAAAGGAGTCAGTTAATGATAAAGAACAAAACAAAGATAAGGTTGTATTTGTTGGTAAAACCCAAGCATCTGCTTTAGGAGATTGTAATTCAAGCGTGGGAAAGGACTTTGAGGCAAATAATGAACATAATGGCCTTGACCTTAATAAAAGTTCAAGTTTCCCAGCCACTTCACAAGGAGCTGATTATGTTAAGTCTAGCATTATTGAAGGCTCTGAAAATATAAAGACACTATTGCCTACAAATCTTGCTGCGCAGAATCTGGATGACTTATCTAATGATTTTGCAAGCACATTCATGCTTGACGAAGAGCTAGAACTGGAGCAGAAAATATTATTGAAGGATCATCCTTCTACTGTAGGCAGGTATTCCGTAATTGATCAGTGACTTTGTTTATCTACAATCCTTCACCTCTGTTCTTCTGTCTGTCGCTAATGCTTTATTCTTATTTCAATCTTTTTATCTTTGTTAATGAAGTCCATGCCTGAAAAGGATAAACTTTGAATTTTGATTCCCTCTTTTTCAAAAAGAAAAAAACTTAATTGCATGATTTATTTACATGTAACTTGAGGAACACTCGTGCCTCTATTTTGCATCATGTACTTCATCAAGGTAAATGCTGATTATTGGCTTATTAATACTATTTATTTGGACCAAGTGGAGTGGATTTCAAATTTAAGGTCCTGAATCCCCTGAAACTGTCTTGGCAATTTATTTCTTGATGGATTTCAATTATGGGTAAAAGTTGTTTTTTCGTCCTAACCATACCACTGTTAAGCCGCAGCAAATTCATTATACTCTCAAATCGTTTCATTCTGGAATAATTTTTTGGGGTAGGAGTCGTGAATACGTATCTACAGAAGAGTACCGTGTTATTCAATAGTAGGTTTAGATCAATTTCTATCAGGAAAGATTAGAAAATTTCTGTTTAGATTTATATTGGAGTTTCAAAATGCAACATTAGAGTATTGACTTTGGGTCTTGATATTTCAGCTTTGTTCTTTGGGTAAAAGAAGCAAGATTGTTGTACAAGGCTGTTTTTTTCCCTTTTTGAAGGGGGGTGGGGGGAAGGGAGATACCAATACTTCCTTGATCTGAGCATTGGAAACAACCATCCCTAACCAACTGGAACAAAGGAGAATTGGTTCATATAAGGCTGCTTGAAGGTTCCTTCCAGCTAAAAAAAAAGAGTTGTTTTTACTTTGTATCTTCCTTACGTAGAATATGTTTAACCAGATTTCCCTCTACCTTAGCTCTACAACCATTTAACAAAATTTCCATCAATTAGCAATATACTTCTTTTTATGCAATCAGCTCTGAAAAAGCATATATACCTTGTGGATAATTAAGACTAATTTTATTTTGAAATATGAGTCATTTTCTACATTCACAGAGCAACAAAACTGCTTTGGTCTGTGGTGCTTTACTTCCTAGTTAATGAATTGGCTTGTAGGAAGGTGAATAATGTATTTCTGTAGGACGCATCCTGTCCATTTTGTAGCTCGATGGTATAGCTAACTGGTGGGCCATCAATAGGGTGAATGCATTAAAATGGTTATCCTTTATATTTGGCTGGGAGACTATTTGCTAAAGTCTTCTTAACAGCAGACAATTGGATTCTGTTGAAAGGGACAAAAACAAAAGCTGCACAAAATATTAAATTGAAATTATGAATTTGAAGGTGTATCCTGGTTATACTATCAGATTCTCCCATGGTCAATTTATGGTTGGACTTTTCAACAAATGGTCAGTACATTTTTGGAGAACCTCTTTGATTGTAGTAACCGATAAACTTATTATTATGTAGATGTCACGGACAGACAGTGTCATTCCATTTCATTGTTCTCTGAGTTCAAGTTTTCCTTCAAACAAGCGGTCACTTTTGTTTGTCCTTTTTTTTCTCCTTTTGCACTAAAAATGTTATTGATACTCCTTTTATGTAATAAAGCTGCTACAATTCTTTAAAAGTACAACTGCTAGGTTTAAAAGCTTTAATTTTGACGCAGTTTTAGTATTACTTGATGCATAAATTGCAGCTCATATGACATATATTGTACTCTATATTTTTTGCTTTTTATTGCCTGTAACTTTCTTATGTTCTCGTGCCATTACTCCAAAAGAGTCGATGATGAAGATGATGAGATCATTGTCAACGATCAAGCTGTGGAGAGGCTAGTAATTGTTACCCAGGCAAGTTCAAGAGCTGCATGGACCACAGTATTTTTTGATCTTTTGTTGTATGGAGTGGCTCTAATCATTTTCAGATAATGCTCAATTATGTTAATTATTATGATGTTATTATGCTGTTGTTCTGTTAATTGTTTTTTCCATTCCATATAAAGTGAGAAGATCGTTGCAATCACGATCAAGATTCACTTGAATGTTAGAAGGTATAGGAAATGAGTTCTGACTCTTTTGCGAGTACAGTATCAAACATTTCATTTTTGCAAATTGCTACAACTTTCTTGTTTGTCATGATGTCAAATATTTAAGGAGCATAGTCTTGTTTTATCTGTTAATTTTTTACACTTGATCTCTTCACGTGAATATGTAAGAAACCACACAATATACAAGGTTAATTTAGAGCTCGTGTCCCTCGTTCTTTCAACCTCCTGGGCAAGGCTACAGCCAAGCATCCAGAAAACTTCAAAAGTTACTGTAGGAGTAATATTCTAGTTAGGAATTGGACAAGAACATTGTAGAGTGTTAGCCTTTGCTAATCCTGGAAGGGCACAGAAATAGATCCGAGGGGAGTGTAGATTTTTGAGATCACGTAGATTTTTGAGATCACGTGGACTGAATTATTGACATGTCTAGCAAATATTAGGGTAATTGGCGCAAAACGTCCCTACGTTTGACGGTTTTTGTGGAAAACATCTCTACGTTTCATGTTTTGGCGCAGAACGTCCCTACCTTTACCATTTCTTGCGCAAAACATCATTTTCGTCTATTTTTGACCATTTTACCCTTCTATTAAAATAGAACAAAAATAAAAGAAAAGAAAAATACATAATAAATTGCAATTATGGGTCCAAACTTTTAAAAATGTGCAAATCAATCACAAACACTAAAAAATCAATCACCCCCTCAGCTACTTTTCCTCCACAAAACGGTCAGCCCCTTCCACCACAAATTCCGACCTCGGCGATGCCACTCAAGGTCGCGGACCACCACGCCTAGCGTCTTCCCACCATGGCGCACCCACCGAACATATGGGTCTTGACCAATTACAAATGAACAAGGATGAATTTGAACTAAAACCAGATTCGACGGACTAAGCGAGTCGCGATCCGCCATGTGAAATTCGTGCACATTTCGCCTAAATTGGTGATGACCCATGGGTGGAATAGCTGCACCATGAAGAGAGGATGCTAGCCCAGGTGGTCCGCGATCATGGGGACCACCACCGTCACCGGAATTTGGGTTTTCCGGTCGCGAACACGCTGTTTTCGAAAAACAGCTGCAAATTTTTATTTTTTGTGTTATTTGCTGTAATTTGAACATGAATGGATGCGTTTAGGTGAGATTGAGGGACCTGTGGAGTGTAATTAACATGGACATCCATGGATTGGGTCGAAATTGGAAGAAAATCGTGCGTGAACACGCTGTTTTCGAAAAACAGCTGCATATTTTTATTTTTTGTGTTATTTGCTGTAATTTGAACATGAATGGATGCGTCTAGGTGAGATTGAGGGACCTGTGGAGTGTAATTAACATGGGCATCCATGGATTGGGTCGAAATTGGAAGAAAACCGTGTGTGAAGGCTTTTTTGGCCGACCAGTTTTGGTGCATGTTCATCTGATTTTGGTTCAAATTTCCGGTCAAATTTGCCGGAGTTGGGGCAGGTGGTTGGGTGGGTTGTGAAGAGGGCAATGAGGACTTCAAGGTGGTATGTTTGTCCGGCGGTCAAGGTGATCGGAGGTTGGGGAATTTGCCTTCAAAGGTGGTGGCTCGAGGGTGATGTTTTTTTCATGTTTGTGATCGATTTGTTAAAATTTTGAACCCATAATTGCAATTTATTATGTATTTTTCTTTTCTTTTGTTTTTGTTCTATTTTAATAGAAAGGTGAAATGGTCAAAAATAGACGAAAATGATGTTTTGCGCAAGAAATGGTAAAGTTAGGGACGTTCTGCGCCAAAAAATGAAACGTAGGGATGTTTTCCACAAAAACCGTCAAACGTAGGGACGTTTTGCGCCAATTACCCCAAATATTAATAGCAAAATAGTTCTCAGTTTCTAAAACATCAGAAATTCTGGAGATATATTCCCAGATGCTTGATTAATTAGATGCGAGACAATATTTGTCTTTTACTCGAATATGATCGGCGACATTAAAAAAGAAAAAAAAACTTTACGTACTCCAAACTGAAATTCTGTTTTTCCTCTCTTTTCATATGGCCCATTCACTGTAAAATTGCATTCTTGTGCCAGGCACGTGATACCTAAAAATTTGATTCTGTTTTGATTTAGGTCATAACCATCTTTCTCTTTGAACTCATATTTGTCTTCCTAAGGTGCATTTCTTCCAAATTATTGTTCTTAATTCTTTCAAATAATCTTAACTGATGCTAATATTATTGATCTTATTTACCTATGGTATAAATAATACTTTTTTTGCACAGGATTTCTGTTGAAGTTTCTACTAATTAGAATGTGTTTTGTAGTTTTTTTCCTTTTCATTTTGGGCCTTTCCTTTTTTTTTTTTTT